CTCAAAATATGAACAGTTTTAGAGGAGTGCAGGAGTGGAATGTGGGACCCTAACCAGAGAAGCTGCGACACCAGAGATGTAGAGGTGATGGCCTGGAGAGATTGAGCCACTAAGGGCTCTAGACTCAGGGAAAGAGAAAGGCTGTGTGCTGGTGGTCGGGAGGTTGGCTTCCAGAATGTGCCTTTTGGTTGTTAAAAGATGATATATTCCTGTGTGCTTTTGTGTATATCAAAAAAAAAAGAAGTAGAGGCAAATACTATTAGACAATGGTGCATAGACGATATTAGAATCATTGCAGTGAAACAAAATATGATTGGTTGATACAAGACTGATGTTCTGCCATGTAAACTGTCACTCAATTCACAGTAAAAGGTTTAAAATAAATATATAAAGAGTTTAGAAATTATCTCTCTGGAATAAGGGACAAAAACCAAATTCTTTGGGTAAAGTAATTCTTCATCCTTCAGTTCATTAAAAACTTACGTGTGCTTTTCTTGTACCTCTCCAGCAATCAGAACAATAGTTCAAAATGGGGAAAAATTGGAAGTCTTGATCTTAGTAGAAAAAGGAAGGTAAGTGATAACATTTTTGCTTTTGTCTTTATTTCAACAACTCATCGGGAGACATGAAATATTCTGGGTATTTTCTGGGTTGAGTACCTACACTGTAAAATTGTCAATTTTCTGGATCATATACATATATATGTATTTACTCATAAACATTTTCTCCAAAGATGTTTACATATATTTGTGACATATCCATAAATGTTGTACATATATATGTATTTACTCATAAACATTTTCTCCAAAGATGTTTACATATATTTGTGACATATCCATAAATGTTGTTAATTACTTAATTTTCCTATATACATAAATCCTTTGGGACATTCAATTACATTTATTTAGAATCAGTTTGATCATTGTAAATGCATTTTCAATGTAGGTACTTTGTTGTTTTTGTTGTAATTGTGGTTGATAGCAAGGACCAAAATTAAAAGTAGTAGAGTGGAACCACTGACTAAACACTTGAACATTTAGGCCTGAAATTGAGTGCGGTTGCAACTGAAAATATAAATTTGGGAGTCATGAGCATATTATGTAGCAAAGGAACAGACAGATTGATTTTCAACATGTAGAAGTCAAGAGGAAGAGAATAATCTAGCAAACAAGAATTGATCTTATAGAACTTGGTATAGTTTCTTGATCAAGTTCCCCTCTCCTTCCCCCGGATTTATTGTTATGTTCTTTTTAAAAAATGCCTTAATTGCACTGATACAGAATGTTTCATTTTCTAACAGTGAAAAATCATTTTCAATAAATATATGTTTATCTGTGTATGTGAGTGTGTATATCTAGAGAGTGATACCGTCTTCCCTAGTTATTTTCCTGTCTGCTGACTAGGGTAATGACTTTCACCACTTATCTGAGCTATCGTCTCTTAAATTACCTGAGAGAACATCGGCAGCTTTAGACAGCCAGCATATTGTGATTAGATGTTTGTGTCAGATCGTGCTTTTTAAGTTACAGACATAATTAGAAGGGTGTCTATGAGTCAGAACTGACTTGACAGCACTTAACAACAACAACTTATGGATCTTGGCAGAAAGCAGAGAATACCAGAAAGATGCTTACCAGTGCTTTGATAACTACACAAAAGCTTTCAATTGTGTGGATCATGACATGCTATGGGCAACATTGCAGAAAATGTGTATTCCTGAACAGTTAATTGTGCTCATGAGGAATTTGCACATAGACCAAGAGGCAGTTGTTCGAACAGAATAGTTTAAAAACTGAATAGTTTTAAATTAGCAAAGGGTTGTGTACTTTCACCATAATTATTTGGTCTGTATCTGATTAAATAATCAGAGAAGCTGGGTTATATGAAGATAAATGTTGCATCAGGATTGGAAGAAGACTTGTTAACAACCTGTGACATGCAGATGATACAACTTTGCTTGCTGAAAGTGAAGAGGACTTAAAATACTTACTGAAGAAGATCAAAGAGCACAGCCTTTGGTATGGCTTGCACCTAATGTAAAGAAAACAAAAATCCTCACCACAGGAGCAAAAATTACCCATTTAAATGGAGAACAGGTTGAAGTTGTCAGAAACTTCATTTTTCTCAGATCAACCATCAAAACTCATTGGAAGCAGCAGTCAAGAAATCAAACAATGTTTTGCAGTAGGCAAATCTTCTGCATGAAACCTCTTTAAAGTGCTGAAGAGTAAAGATGTCAGTTTGAGGACTAAGATGCACCTGATTCAAGCCATGGTATTTTCAGTAACCTCATATGCATGTGTAAATTGGAATGTGAATAAGGAAGACCATAGAAGAACTGATGCATTTGAGTTATGGTGTTGGAGGAGACTATTAAAAGTACCTTGGACTGCCAGAAGAACAAACTAATCTGTGTTTGAAGCCAGAATGCTCCTTGGAAGCCAGGAGTGCCAGACTTCGTCTCTCATACTTCGGACATATTGTCAGGAGGGACTAGTTGCTGGAGAGGAATATTATATTTGATAAAGTGGAGGATCAAAGAAAAAGAGGAAGACCCCCAATAAGAAGGATTGGCACAGTGGCAGCAGCAATGATCTCAAATGTGTCAACAATTGTGAGGTTGGCGCAGGACCAAGGACCGGGCAACATTTAGTTTTGTTTGTTTGTAAGGTCACGATCAGTCTGTACTGACTTAATGGCACTTAACAACAACAAATATCTGGGTGTTTGATTGCTGATGACACTTTAGATTTTGATTGTTTTTGATACCAGATAAAGGAGCTTTCACTTATACTTTTAATACCCTTTGTACTTATATTTTCAGGAATTATAAAACGATTGCTGGGGAGTTGATTCTGACTCCTGGCAACTCCATATGTGTATCAGAGTGGAGCTGTGCTCCATAGGGTTTAAAATCATAGTTTGGAAGTAGATCACCAGGCCTTTCTTCTGAAGCACCTATTGATGAATTTGAATCTCTAACGTCGTGGTTAGCAGCTGAGTGAATCAAGTGTTTGCACAAATTCAGTTTCCATACTTAACTATTAATATTTATGAAATGACAGCTACCTGCTACCTGTGCATATGTCTACGCATGTTATGGCTTTTATTTCTTGTTTACCAAGTAGAGGAAATACTGGATTTTACTGTATTTCTATTTCCAGCTTTTTGATGACGCGCCATACCATTTTACTTAGTGATTGTACCATTTTACAGTCTTGCTAGCAATGTAGGAGGGTCCCAGTCCCTTTGCACCCTGGCCATCATTTGTTGTTTTCTGTTTGCTTGTTTTGTTTTTTTTTTTAAATGTTACATTATTAAACATGTAGAACATAATGTTTGAATTTATTTTGTTTTAATTTTTGAATCAGGTTATTTATTATATCCAAGGTGTTTTTCTACCATGTTTAGTCTGTGAAGGATTTGAGTGTGGATTTTAGTGATACATGCATTTTATGAAGTTAATTTGTAGCAAATGTGGATTAGAATTACTCAATTTGATTAGCTTTTACTTAATACTTTCTGTATCCCTTATACTTCCCCATGAATGCAAGATTTGGAACTGAGAAGACTGTGTTTTGTTATAGTGGTTACAGCTGATTCATTGTGGTTTTGCTAATATTCTTCAAGTGTTTTGTCTATACGTGTTACAAGTATTTTTAGAAAAGTACTGAGCAAAGAATGTGCTAGAGTTGTTGTTGTTAAGTGCCATCGAGTCAGTTCCAACACATAGTGACCCTGTGTAGTGTTTCCATGGAATGGCTGGTGAGTTTGAACCGCCAACCTTGCTGCTCAAACCGACCTTCCACTCAAGTGTTTATCCTACAGTCTATATATGTTGCTACCATGTATTTTTAGAAGAGTACAGATCAAAGAATGTGCTAGGGTAGCAGTAGAAAATATAATAGGGAAAATAGCTGGCCAAGTCATTTTCCTTCAGTCTCTTTCAATACGTATAGTTAATATGCACCATCTGAAAACAACTTTATTGACTGTATGCGTGTATCTTCATTTGCTTGTTTTTCAGTTTGTCCAATCTGATGATAGTTTTATAATAACAAAAATGCTATGATGAGATTGTATAGAAGTTATCATGAGCCAGACAATATTTTAAGCACTTGTTGTTGTTAAGTGTCTTTGGGTTGGTTCCCACCCATAACGACCCTGTGCAGGGTTTTTAAGGAACAATTGGTGAGCTTGAACCATAAACCCTGTGGTTCAAACCGACTTTGCAATCCAGCAAATTAACCCAGAGTGCTACACCAGGAGTCTTATTATGCCTAAATCGTATTGAGGGAATATTCAGTTTGAAATCAAAACAGGATCATTCTCTAATTTAACAACCTAAAGATTATTTTAATTTTTATTAGACAAATGAGTTAATTTACCTATAAATGCATATGACACTTCCTCAAGGATTAAGTTGATACAGGTATTAGGAGCCTGGCTGTATGACATATTGTTATTAAGTTCCTTTTAATCAGTTCTGACATAATTATAAGGACCCAGTATAAGGTTTCTAGTGCTGTGAATGTTTAAGTGAGCAGAAAGTCTTATATTCCTCCCATACACACACGTACACTGTTGTTGTTAATGTCCTGTCAAGTTAACTCCATTTCATAGTAACCTTGTATAGGGTTTCCGAGAAGCAGCTGGTAGGTTTGAACTGCCGAACTTGTGGTTAGCAGCCCTTGATTATCCTATGTAAAGCTATATTTTATTTATTGACAAAGGCCAAAATTAAAGGTAGAACATAAATGGAATTTTTATTTTTCTGGTTTTATAGAATTGACTATTTTTCCTCTTTTATTTTGATATTCAATCATACTTTTATGAAATAATAATAATAATAAAAGTCTAAATATGTGATGCCCTTCAGTTAGGCTTGTTGGTAAGTACTGTTGAGTCAGTTCTGACCCATAGCAACCCTGCACAGCATTTCTAAGGAGTGGCTCGTGGGTTAGAACTGCTGACCTTGTGGTTAGCAGTACAGTGCTTGTCCTAAAGTGCTACGGTAGGCAAGGTGACAAAAAGTTCATGGACAAGTATTGTAAATGCACTGGGTTAAAGACCTTGAAAGAACAAAGAGCATACCATTGTGGCAGTCCCACTATTTATATATTTGTTTACGTATGCACACATATATCTGTAGGTACATATTTTTTGTTTAGAATGTGAAAGTTGGAGTCAAAGAGGAAAGATCGGTAGTTGGAAAATATGGCCTTGGTTATAGAAATAACAGAAGAGATCACATGGCAGAATTTGTAAGATTAAGTACTTATTTAGCCAAAAGAACCAAAAGATCTGTTTTGGAAGAAGTGCAGTCAGAGTGCTCCTTAGAGGCCAAGATGGCTAAATTTTGTCTCTCATACTTTGGACATATTGTCACGAGGAAACAGTCACTGGAGAAGGATATCATGCTTGCTAAGATGGAGGGTCAGAGAAAAAAAGGAAGCCCGCCAACGAGATGGATTGGCCAGGTGACAGTGTCGATGGACTCAAGTGTGGCAGCGGTAGTGAGGTTGGCCCAGGATCAGACATTATTTCGTTCTGCTGTGCATGGGGTCGCTAT